CGGGGTGCACTGGCCCGGACTCGGGCGCAGGATCCCGCAGGATCGTGGAGGATCTTGCAGAGCTTGACTGGTGCGGGTCTGGATTGACCCAGGTCGGTAGATCCCCGAGTACGGGGCCTCGGCCTGGAGGCCCTGGCCGCTTTTTGTTCGGCTATGAGCGGCCACTTCTCGGCGGCGCGCCCAGTGGGAGCTGCGAGGGGGCAGGCCTTCGAATTCGGCGGGGCTTCGCAGAAATCCTCCGGCCTTCCGAGAAGCCGCTTGCATCTTCGAAGAAGGCTTGGGAAGATGGAGCCTTCTGGCAAGGCCCGATCCCATCTACCTTCTCCTTGGGCGCGCCGCCGACTTTCTCCACTACGGCGCGTGCTCTAAGTCGGGTGCGACACCCACACCCACGATGTACGGTTTGCGCGACTGGCTGACATTAGATCAAGACCATTAAAAAAAACGCCCCTACCCTGTTTTACGAGGCGCTGTGCGCTGAAACCCTTGTGGGCTGACAGGGTAAGCCCTGCGTGATGTGCCGCGTCCTGGCGGCTCTAGGCTTTGGGGGTTCCCAGGAGGTTTACAGACCACGCATTTGCAACCCAGGGTAGGGTCGTGTTTTTTTTTTCATCCCTCAATTATCAGGAGGAGAAGAAACACACAGACACAATTAATCTTCGATTCCCCAGAAAATATGGGAAAATATGGGAAGTGGGGGGGAAGACAGAAACCCAGAAAATATGGGAAAATATGGGACCTACTTTTATTTGTGTGTATTTATTTGTGTGTCCTGGGGCCCCTTCAAATTAGAGAAACCCGAAAGGTGCGCTCAGCAGGTGCATGAACACCTGGTGCGGTGGGCGACGTGGCCTGCGAGTGGGCGCGGACGGTGGACCCGGGACGCGCGGCGGAACTGCGTGCCAGACAACTCGGACGTGCCTCCCGAAGATGCCCGGCCTGCGCCCCCCCAAAAGCTCTGAGATCTGATCGGGACGAGCGCGCCCATCCGCCCCTCCCCACGAAGGGGGACCTCACTGGAACGGTCCAGGAGTCACTCCTCTTGCAACCGCGGGGTTGTGTGCAGAACTGAGCGAGCTTCCTGGTGCGCTCGCGCCTCTTACTCTCAACCGCCATGGAAAAGGGGGTCCTAGACCCCGTGGCTCTCCCCAGGACCAGCTTCTCATCCCGAGCACCCTCTGGCGGTCCCAGCGCTCGTGGAGGGCCCCAGGGCTTTGCAAGTGGCGAGGGCCCCCGCGGCGCCGGGGACTCCGGTGTCCGTTTCCGCTACGGCCATGCCACATGTGCGGTTCGGAGCTTGTTATTGGCGCGTCGTGTCGCCGGCTCTGGCCCACCACGCTGCGGCACGGCGCACCGTCCACGCCCCCGATGCCAAGCGTCAGCGTCCCGAGCTAGCCCCCCGCACCCCGCCCCGAGGAGCGGAGCGACACGCTGCCACCGCCTGCGCGGCACCGCGTCCTGCTCGGGCCGCCGCGACGCGCCGGGAGCAGGCGCTCCCGACGGCGGGGGCCCGAAGACGGATGCGCTCGAGCTTGATGAGTAGGGCGACCCTGCTCAAACACGGGTAGCCTCGTGTCCTGTGTTTCGCGACCCATGCCCTCTACGTTCAAGTCGGGCGTGTCCCCCTACAGGGGGAATATCCAAAAATAGCCAAAAAATAGTCTGGGACTATTTTTTGAATAGTTGTTGACCTCTGGGAGTATTTTTTTTTGTATTTTTTTTTATTTTTTGTCGAAAATCCCACTGTAGGGGGACACGCCCGACTTAACTCGACGTTCCATTGGCAGTGTGGCCATCGGCAGGGTCTCGTGACCTCTCGAGCGTCCTCTGCAAGCCACCCCGACCGTGGTGCCCTCCGGGGGCCCCCTCCCTTCAGGGCCCGGGTGCCTCATGCCAGCGCCGCACGCTTCCCAGGAGGGGAAAACATACAGACACAATGAATCGTCGATTCCCAGGAAAATGTGGACAAATATGGGCAGTGGGGGGGAGAGAGAAACCCAGCAAATACCGGAAAATATGGAGAATCCTGTTATCTGTGTGTATCTATGTGTGTGTGTGCCCCAGGGCCCCATTCAGTTTCCCCCGGTGGCTGCTCAGAGTCGAGCCGACCTCGGCGCGGCCGGCTCCTGCCGGCCCCGAGGCTGCCCAGCGGTTCGGCGGCATCCTGCTGAAGTGGGCGCAGGACTCCCAGCGGCACTGATCGACTCCCCCCGCCCCCATTCTTCCTGCTTCCGGCTCTTGCTCGACTCGTCCTTCTCCTGCCTCTCGCCCTGCTTCGAAGGAGGCAAGCAGGCACGCATCATTAGCAATACCAGTGCCCCCGACCCAATCGGAGGAGACCCAAGTTTGGAGGGCCGAGCACATTAGGGATAGGGTTGTCTCTTCAGCAGATGTATCGGACCAAACCACCCATGTTTATCATCCCTGGTGCAAGGACGGGGACCTCGGTTAGGCGACGTCTTTAACGTGCTATTAGGGTTAGCGGGCTTTTCTATTCTCAGTGATTAAACATAAACTTTCGACGGTCCTCGCGGACTGCTTGGATCGATCTGCGCTGGAGGCCCCCCTGGCGGCGCCTCCGGCGCCTCCAGCTGGTGGGCTCCGCGCGCCCGGAAAGGGGGGACGCCCAGCGCCGAGCCTCGAAGTCCGCGCGGACTGCCGAAAGGTGGCGCTTACGTCTGTTTTTGTTATCCCTCTGCACTGGAGGCGCGCAGCAAGATCGACACCAGGAGGAGGAGGAGGAGGAGGAGGAGGAGGAGGAGGAGGAGGAGGAGGATGCTCTTCGTCGGGGCGTCCTGGGCCTCCCCGCTCCGCGCGCTGCGCGGTGGCCTCCCGCGGCCGCTGCAGAAGCTGCTGCGTTCCGGGTGCCCCCGGGCTTCCCTCCCGTCGCACCTCCCGCGCGGATCTTCAGGGCTGGGTCTAGGTCGGGCCCGTCCCTCTCCAGGAGGGAAAATTCAAACATGCTCAAACAACTCTCTTATGTTCTGACCATTTGGGAGTATCGTTTGACTGTTTTTCATTTCTCCTCCAAGATCCCCCTGCAGGGGGACAGGCCCGACTTGAGGCTGGGCTCCTTGCGAGGGGGCCCCCTTGTGGGCGCGCCCGCACCGTGCTGCTTCGGTGGCGCGCCGCGGCGCCGCGCCGCCTGCCGCGCGGCAGCGCCGACGACCGGGCCCGTCGTGCCGGCTCGGCGGCCGCGGTGGCCGGGCTGCGGGGGCGCGCCGCAGGGCTGCCGAGCGCGAGGCTGCTGCTGCGGGGCCCTTGGTTTCGGGGCGGTCGGGAGGGGTGCGGATCCAGGCGTACGTCGGGCCTGTCCCTCTCTCTACCGGGGGGGACGTGCAAGAGTAGTCAAACAAATAGTAGTCAGGGGACGATGTTTTGATTCTTTTTGGAGCATTTGGGGGGTATTTCTAGGGTATTTTTTTAATTTTTTTCGTCCAAAGTCACCCTGTAGGGGGACAGGGCCGACTTAGATTTAGGCCTCCTAGATGGGGTCGGAGCAGATGGGGTCGGAGGATCGCGTCGCCGATGCATCGCCGATGTGGCTCGTTGTGGAGCCCGATTGGCTTCACGTCGACGTCGCCGATGCATCGCCCATGTCGACGATGCATCGCCAGTGCATCGCCGATACATCACCGATGCATCGCCGATGAATCGCCGATGTGTCGGCGATGTGGCGCGGTCCTCCGACCCATCTACTCCGACCCCATCTAGGAGGCCTCTAACAGAAAGAATGGGTACAATGCCCAAAAACAGTTCATGTTCATTTTGAGCAGGACTCGCTGTCCGCGCCGTCGCGGACGTTGTTCTCCGAAAAAGCTGCCTGCCCAACAGCGGCCTCTGTCGGTCTTGGGCAACGTGTGTTGTTCGGCATTGTACCCATTTTTCCGTACCCATTTCTGGGCGTCCAAACGGTTGGAAGAGTCTTCACCGCACTCATCTCTTTCCCTGCTCGTTCTGCTCGTCGTCGTCGCGTTTCGGAAGTTGGGTCAGCTCTGGGATCAAGCCGGTCGCCGTCGCACCCGTGTTCGTTTCTGGTGACCTTGCCGTCGGTTGCCGCCCGAGCCGATCTCCCCGTCGAGTTCTTGCTTGGGCATGGCCACGTCGCAAGTCTCAACCTGTTCCCGACCGTCTTGCCCCAGTTCATGGCCCGCGAGCCAGTTCCCGATCCTCCTCGGTTCTGGCCCACTCCTCCTCGTGTTCGTGAGTTAGGTCGTGGCCCTCGTCGGCCAGTTGCCGCCCGTCCGTCTGAACCCGTTCACGGCCTCCAAAAGCCAATCAGGCTTACAGGCGCGTGCTCTCGTGCTTCGGCCAGGGTGCCAGGCGACGTTTGTCGCAACCCTAGGCGGCTTCCACAAGTACCATCCGGGCCTCTTCGGGCTTGCCCATCGATGTTGTGACATCGTTGTTGTCCAGCCAGGGGTGCGGCATTCACCGAGCACGTCGTCCAGGGGTCTCAAGCGCCCTCGGCGGCGTCTCGGCTCTTGGCCCCCAGCACATCCTGAATTCCGGCACCAAGGTCGAATGAAGGATACGCGCTGCTCCCGTGCAATCTATATTGGGACCGGCTGGCTTCTTGATATTGGTCGCACACCTGCATTTCGTCACCTCCTCATTGCCGCTCAGAGGGGGGGGACACTTATTGTGCACCATGCCGGTGGACTAGGGGCAGAAGGCAAGAGAGGCGTCGAAGCGGTGCCGACTCGAGCCTCCGGTGCTTGCGAAACTGATACAAATCGAGGATACGTCGGTGCCAGAGTTGGTCGCTCCACTGGCTTCGAGATTATCAGCATGGGATTGTGGAAGTCGATTTAATGCAGAGGAAGCATGCTGCCAAATATTTTCCAGATGTCGAAAACATATTTCAAACATGTTGTAAATAGGTTAAAACATGTTTGACACATGTCTAGAACATGATTTACACATTTTAAACAAATGTTCAAATTAATGATAGGTTTTTTGGAGTGTCCATGGTCATGGCATCCGCAATCATGGGGTCA